TCGACGAGTTCACTTTATATGAACCTGGTACTTGTAAAGAAAGGTGGTCTTTTGGTGAACGTAACATTTTTCCTATTTTGGTTAAGGGGTGAAAACAGTTTTTATGGAAAACTTCCTTAGCAACCTGGCTATTTTATCTGTCACCCATTGTACATTATCCGTATTAAGTATTCTTACATATTGACCATAATAATACGAGCAACAACCGCGACAACATCATCCAAACCTTTCGCAAATGGCGTTTCGAAATGCGTAATAGCGACTGCTGAAGATGTCAATCTCAGAATGGACAACAGCGAGGTCATTGTACTCACGACACATACGGGTGAGGGATTATAAAATGAGGTATTGTTGGTGTACACACACAATTTGAAAGTCACAGGATTACGAACGCGCTAGTTTGTATTAAAATTAATTAACGAAAGAAGATTAGGGGCATCGATTTTGGAATTAATAATCTTGTAAAGTGTGACAATTTCAGATTGCTTACGTCTGCATTCTAGGGAGTTCAAATTAAACTTCTCCATCAATTGTTTGTAAGTATTGATGCCGCGACCAAGATCATAACATATAGGATATTAACCTTAAACAACGCTTTTGCACGCGCTGGGCCTATCTTGGGCCTAGTGGTATAATAAGGTAAAAAATAGTACATTCACAACTTTAATTTGGCTCCTTGGAAACCTTTTCCCAAATCATTTTCTTCTTTAAACTGGTTTTATAATTTCTATCACTTGCAATAAATAAACCGGGGTAACGGGAAACTTAATTAAAACACGCTCCATAGTTGTAAAAAAATACAATGTCCAAACCCGCTGAAGCCCCGCTAATGTCCCGGTACCGGTCCGCGCCCCGCCACTGACGCTCTGTGGGGACGGTTGCATAGAACTCAATATATTACAATACCCGCCCCCGCATCAGCCCCGCGTTCGCCACGGGCCCGGCGCGCGCCACAGCCGCGCGGCTACCGCGCGTTTCAGTGTGCCAGGGTTCATATGAACTCATACATTACAAAAATTCCCGCGCTCGGAACGCTTCCACGGCCGCCTCTGTGTAGCCAGAGCATTACGAATGGAATTCGATCTCGTTCATATGACCACCACGTTTGCAGTTTGGTCAAACAATCGATCTATTGAAAAGGAACTTCGTTAATCGTGTAATCTCGCTAAATGGTCCGATCGAACGGTGATGTAATTTGACGCCGATTGCTTACTTTTTATGGGGTTACGTTAAGTCGTTGGTTTAAATTGGCGAAATTGCCAACGTTTCAATGGAAAATTAGCTCCATAGAATTGAACGCTGCAAATGTGCTCTCGGTGGTCACATGAACGAGAACGATGTGTACTGCACCTGGTATACATTTCAGCTCGATATTCCAATTATTCTGTGTTTTATTGAAATACAAAATTGTTGTGTCCTTATTGAAAAAGTCTATACATTGATGTTAGCTCCATTTTCTACCATTATAAATTTAATCAGTCGTCGGCGGACTGGTGAAACACCCTATAAACAACAGTTATAAATACAAATTTCTTTACCATAAATTACAATTTACAAGCCCCTTTCAACATTTGATTGCACGGAATTATGTAAAATTTTAACAAACTTTGTTGCGAAGTGTTACGTCGAAATAATTTGGTAACTTTGTAAATCGGTTTTATACTAATAAATGTTTCACAAACATTGAAATAGGCAGAGTATATTTATAGAGTGGACAATACCTCCATCTGAAACTACTGAACAATTGACAATAAACTACTTCCTTGGCTATTTACTTACTTACGGTTATTATACTGAATACGGGTCCCATAGTCACGGTTGACTCAACCGTGACCATTTACAGGTCCCATGGTCACGGTTGACTCAACCGTGACCATGGGACCTGTAAAGGGCCCGAAACGTCGGTTTGTTTGAAAAAACAAATATACGCGATTTAAATCCGGAAAAATAGTTTCATTTCCTATGTGTAACAATCGCGAAAACCTAAGAACTCGATAATAAATTGCCAATGAAAAAAATTATGTACACTTAAACAAGACAACATTTATTTTACGATAATAAATAAATTCTCTGTATCCTTACAGGACATATTTTGAAGAGCTTCTTGGAGATTTTTCTTTACCTTAAAGCAACAGAAATTATAAATGGAATATTTGGCGTTTAATTTATTGTACAAAAATGGTCCAAGAAACACAAAAAATCTTGAAATAAAAGTATGTTTTGATGATATAATTTTGGGGCAGACAATATCTTTTCGTCTTTTATTAGTGTTTTCAGTAATATATGGGAGTAGTACCTGCTATTTGAGGACTGTGTAAACTTGCCTGATTATTTTAAAATCAGCAGAAACGCGTAGTTTTTTAAACACAAACATTAACTTACGGAGTCGGGCGCTTAGTGCTTCGATATGGTGTTTAGAGGATAGGATGTCATCTAATATAACACCTAAATACTTTATCTTGTATTATAACATAAGTGTATTATGCTGCGCTCTCTTACAGGGTCTCACATGCAGTTCCTACCTCTAAGTCTGTGTACTATAACACTTAAGAGTACATGTGAAATGCAAATAGGTAAATAAACAAAAGATAAAAGTTGTGTGTTTCGCTCGGCAGCAAAGTTGTTTTGCGTCTCATGCCTTGAAACGCTCGTTTATTGCTCAGGTTTTAACGCGTCAAACAACAACTGCGCAGCCTTGCATACCAAATAACTATTCCCTCGTTAACAGCCGAAAGATACTTGTTGTTATGAAATTACAAAACACTATATTGAAACTATAGAATGTCGTTTTTTATTGTTAAAATTTGAGCCGTGACAAATGTTAGTAGACCGTCGGTTTCGAGGCATTTGCGCGATCTGAGAGTTTTTGCTAACTCCCCGCAACACTGTACTGCATTTTGCGCGCGTAATTGTCAAACCAAAAGACTATATTGCAGCGTACCGTGTTATGTTAAAATAATTTCTAAATTTTAAAACTTATGTACAGTGTATTTTCGTTTTTAATATCTCATTCAAAAACACCAATTTTACCATGTGTTACATGGTATAAAATAAAATATTATGTTGTCGTTATTTGATGAGAGTTTACTGGATACTGAATGAGGATTGACTGACTCTGGTTGACTGAGTCTGGTTGACTGAGTGAGGTTTACATTTTGTATGAGCTACTTATACTAATTTGGTACGTGTGTTCTATGCTGATGCACAAGGCATGATTGTAACTTTGCTTGTATCAAGACGTGCCTGAATGTCGGAAGAGGGTTAGACATTCTGGCACGTCTGTGGCTGGTACACCAATACCTCCAAAGTTGAAACGTCATGGTATAGATTAGGCCTAGCGAAATCATATGAGTAAATCAAAATACTGTAAGTGACTTTGTAGCGTATTAGTTTGCTACGGCAGAGTTGTTGTTTATGATGTTAGTTAACACAGTCCCGTGAGGTTGTTAGTATTGTAAAGGTAACACTGTATACCAATGAATACAGACAAGTACTTCTTTTCTTTTAGAATCTCTGAAATATAGGGTAAAACATCAGCTGTTTTATACCTATGTGGGTGCTGTATTATACATTAGCATGGACTTGTACTTTCTTCCGCAAAGCGTAAATCAGAGTTTTAAATTAGCCTTACTTATTCAACAAGTTAAGATTAAGTTGTAAAGATTAACTTGTTAAGATGAGTTCCGCGATTTTTCTTCTCAAACTTTTGTTTAAAAATGTTGTCTAAAAGTTAAAAGTAATATTTAATTTGATATTAAAAAGAAATGGCTGTTTGTAAATGTTTAAAAACATAGTACACAAAGTTGATTTTCGTCAACCTTTTCGATTATAAGGGGTAAATTAGATATGTAGATTGAGATCTATTTGGTTAATTAAACAGTGGTCTAATAATATCATACAATAACAATAAGTTTGTTTATTTTCTCACCACAACATTGAATGTAATAACAAGAACTATACATAAAATAATCTCAGTACAGAGTACTAAAAAAACCGACCACAAAAGTACGTGGAATTATGTCTATTTGCTAAGTTTTATTGAAATATCCCCTAGTTCGCCACTATATAGGACTTGACGCTGGAGATAATAAAAATAGGTTCTCACTACGACACTACTCAAAGTATATTGAGAGAAAAACGCCTTGAATTGAAGAAATAGCAAAATCAACCATTAAAGTAATTGCTCCTAAATTAAAGCTAGGCGCTTTTTATAAAAGTGAATCTTCATGCGTGAACATCCACCCTTCGAGGTGGATGATTTTCTTCAAAATGAAATGGGACCACTATGGAAGTACCTCCTTTCCAACAAAAAAGAATCATGAAAATCGGTTCACAAATACCGGAGTTATCGCGTAACATACATACAAAAAAAAGAAAAAAAAGAACATACAGTCGAATTGAGAACCTCCTCCTTTTTTGAAGTCGGTTAAAAAGAATTATACTGTGGGAGACTGGTGTCTAAACTAGACGTATTTCAGGTCACCAGGACTCCACCCCTTGGAAAATACAAATTTGCAACTTGGAATTATGTACTTGTATTTTGATAATTGAGATTACTAAATTATCTATTTAAATTAAAGTTTACAAAGGAATTTAAAAAAATGGTATTTATAGTACAGGGAATTCCATGATTTGAGACCAGGTAAATTGTAAGCCCCATGTGTCGAAAGTATTTGTACTAACAATTTATTATGTGACCAAACACTATAAGGTGACAAAACTGTAAAGAAATAAACGTATGTGTGAGAAAAACTACACGGCGCGTGCAACGCGATCGAGCGTCTATTCGAATTCGAGGCGCTGCGGGAGCGTCGTAACTTAAAAAAAACCAAATGTTTTTTTTTCAGATTTTGGAAAACACATAACCACACAAGCGCCCTGGTTTTTTTTTCTAAATTTGGTTTTTGTCAGAAAAAGTAAAATGGAATAACTGAAGTAAAGTAAGACACTAACTTTTGTTTTAAAATATATATAACATGTTTATTAGTAATAAGTGTTACCCACACTTGCAATGTCATCAAAATTTTCTGTGTCTTCGTTTCCTGCATTCAAAGCCTACCGAATAATTTTATATAAGCGGCTATAATGTACGTTAGGTTATAAGGTACGTTAGGTTAGTAATGTAATAAGGGCTGTGAGCGATGTGGAAAAATAGTTGATATCGCCTTTAGATAAATAAATAAGTAGTGTTTTTATCAGTAATCATCAAAATAGCGATGCAACAGCAACCGATAGATTAAAAAAAGGTAAAATGTTATAATCCCCGTATTTTCCCAATCAATCCCACAAAATGCCCAATCGAGTTGATATTCCCCGCAATTTGGGGAATTCGCCACAAATTGACAACACTATGAGTGTTGCCCATTTATTTTGAGCAATTTATCTATGAAGAATAATATTAAGAACAAAAGATGAATTGTAGTAAAAACAAATACAATTGTCACATTGTCATATTTTTATTTTCATACATTTAGAAAAAACCCGTACTCCAGAAAAAATACGGTTTCTTTACATGTTTTTTTTTTCATTGTTTTTTCATCTCAGAAAAAAAACGGTTTTTTAACGACACTACGCCGCGGGAGGCAAAGAGGCATTGGCGTCCGGCCAGAGCCGACAAAAACCGAGCGTTGTAAAATCTTGCGCATTTCGAGTGCCGTTTAATTACGATGTTATATTATAGACGCTAAGATTCCTTGAAGAGCTCGTGTTACAAGGTCGATAACGTTAGGGAATTCAAAATAAGGGACTGTGACTAGTTTTCAAAATTCTTAGTCTGTTATTTTACCTTTGAACTAGTGCAGTTGACGAAGTATAATTCAGATTCTTCGTCTTCTAGCATTATGGGCACCACCTGATCTGTGCAGTCCACATCTGGAAATAAAGAAACATTGTTAACTTCATAACTCCCTTCTCCTTAGAATGAATTTACTAGGTCGACAAGCCGTCTCCGCTTTTCCGCTAAAGACGACAACCTACCTAGTGTAAATATTCAGATGTCGGTCATCAACCGTAGTTAACTAAATACCTACCTACCCGATTAGTTTGTTGAACGTTGCTAACAATTTTTAGCTTTTATAAGGAAACTTTCTCTATGTAAATGTAACTGAGACTATTGACTGAAATATGTTGCCCTGAAAAAAACTCCAAAGAAAGTCACCACAGAGATTCGACCAATCGACTTTTCAATTGAGAAGCAACCAATCTCTCATTAAACTATCATCTCTTTTCATTTCTACTGGTAATAGGAACATAAGTTTTAAAACTAAGGCTACTATTTCACTGTTCAAAATAACTTGCAATCAGTTACGATGTCCCATGAAAAGAATATCTATTGGAGTCGTTGACAAAAAGACGTTGCGCGTTTTGCTACCGCTAGGACCGCATGTCTTTTTCGTATAAATGCTTTCGGACCAGCTTAAGCCAATTCCGCGTTTAATTAATGTAGTGACCTGATGATGATGACATAAGAACTATTTAAACTATATATCATGCCAATTATTTTTTGATATATTATATTATGTAGGCAGCAAACAAATATGTTCATTATTATTGGTTTTTCAGTATCTAGTTTTTAAACAGCCATTTATCCAATATATAATTTAAGACCTGTTTTAAAAAAATATAGGAGAAAATTGAAAGCGAAGTACGTTATAATTGCTATGTACAATCTCTATATTTAAACGTTCGTGTTAACGAGCTAGAGTTCGTTATTCTTTATCGATGCAGATTGTTTCTTTAGCTTGTAGCTTTTCCAATTAGGCGATTATAGCAGATTTTACTTGAGGTATCAGGAATTCTGCTGTCATTTTTCGAAATCATGCCTCTATATTGTATGGCAAAACAGTCAGCTTTTGAAATAAATTGTAATCAGTATTAATGAAATAATGGTAGTTCTGGCCTATTTAATTACTTTATAATTATCTTCGTGAATTTTCTCTAAAGTTATATAACAGTCAATTATGAAAATGCTTTTTAGAAAAGGTGACAACGACGACATAAATAATTATCGCCTAATTACACATACCTATGTATTTTTTTAAAAGCATAGAAAAGTGTATGCATAAAAACTTGTGGATTTTTGTGACAATATAATATTATAAAACCAGAGCAATGACGACTTCCAAAGCGGAAATCTACAACATTGGCAATGTATAGTTTTATTAAATGAGCACTGAATATTAATAATAATATTAATAGCGGTAACTTAACCACAGGACTGTTTCATGATATGCTTTAGACTTCATGATATGCTTTTGTGTTTCACATGATTTACTTCTCAATCAATTAGAAAGAATCAAGTCATATTTCGCAAAGTATGTACAGTGCGTTGTTGGCTTTAAAATAACAGATAATGCATACACAATAAAAATATGAGATTTTAAATAGAACCTCAATATATTTGGTGTACCACAGGGAAGTTTTATAGGACCGATTTTATACCTACAGTATATAAATGATATTATTGATAAAATTTAGTATATTATTTTCTGACGACATATTCACCGTCGTAACTTGATTACGACGAATGTTAATTTCAGTAAATCAAATTATATGCAAATATGATTTCAATTTAAATATCGATGTAATTCAGGAAGTGTTCCACATGTTTTTGGATTAACCATAGATTAAGAACTAAACTGGAAAACTCACTTTCGTTGAGAATATACATGTGAGAATCAATAAGTTTGCGTATGTCTAAAAAAGTTACAAAATATAACAAGTAAGAATGCTGTCATAACCACATACAGGGCACATGTAGAATTCATTCTACCTTACGGTCTAGTAGCATGGCGTAAGAGTACAGACCGAATTTTGTAGCACAAAGGAATACATTTGAGCAATTTGTGCAATTTTATCAGATGAAACAAGCAGACCATTGTTTCAAAGCCTTGGTTTGTTAACAGTACCGTCATTATTATATGAAATTTGTATCTTTGTACGAATATACACATTTGTTTAAGAAAGCCAGTGATGTGAGCTGAGTAGCAGAGTTTGCAGAAAACCCGAATATACTTTTACTTGATAATATCCCTGTGACTGCAAAATATAGCAAAAAAAAATTACTTATAATAAACTTATACAAGTATTTAAATGAATATGATTTCTTTGGCATAAATATTTAACAAAAAATATGATATAAAAGATTTTTGCATACTTTTTTGTTATTCCCGACATACTTAACTTACAAATTTGTACGTTGTGACGTTCTTATATTTCTAGCAGCCAATTAACTTTCTTTCTAACCAAGTGATGGGACGAACAAGTCGTGAGCCTGTTGATAAGTGACACAACTGTCAAAAACAGTTGCAGTGCCATTCATATTTTTCAATAACATATATTTGAGGGGCACTGCCACTGCGCCCGTCACCCTGAGACATAAGTTGACAAGTCCCATGTGCCTGTAATTTCACCAGCCCTTCAAAACCGGAACATAATAATGCTCATAATACCGCTTGGCGGCAGAAATAGGTAAGGTGGCAGTACATTCCTAGACGAACTAAATATAATTTTATAACTAGACATTATTGAATATATATGAAACATTTTTGCACCGGCGCTGTTTCTTTTTTTTCATCTTTTGTTATACCATGTTTTAAGCAAAAAAGCCCTCTAAGCAGCCGGCTTCGAGCAGTCTGACCTATTAAAAAAATCAGCTTTAATCAGAAATTAGTTTTGAATTATTAAAATATCGATAACAATACAACACTAGTGTCCATATTGAAACATACGGTGTTTCGCTTTTCTACGTCTACAGTTTTCAAGTTCGCTTTTGCTAATTGCATACCTATTTCTTGCAGGGAAATGTGATTTAAATGAAATAAATAAAAATATATTTATTTCTCCACAAAACAGACGTGGATAATTGCAGGCTATTATAAAATAACAACCAATTGACGTTGACAAAAATATTGCTGATTTTCAGTCGTCACCTGTTTTCAGATACAACTACATTAAGCAATAATGTAAAATTTAAAAGCTGACCGTGTCAATCATTAATACAAAGATCGAACACAAAGAAAAATGACTTTGATTTCGAGTCGAACCAGCGCCTTCGCGATACCATACTTGACGCTCTCCCAACAATCTACAGAATGATCCAGCAAACCTCGTAGCAGATCTTTGTTTTATTTTTGCGAATTTTTTGCCGTATCGCCATCTGTGTATTAATAACCGATCATCCATCTATTAATAATTATAATTCCGTAAAAATAATTTAATCACGGTAGTAACATATGTTCGAAAAGCGTAATAGGAATGTGAAAAAGTTACATTTATTAAATTAATAAATAACCTAAAAATTTTGTGCTGTTAGTGGTTTTAATTATGGTTCAGTTGTTACTCAATTTCTGTACTCGTTTGTAAAAGTTATTTACTGGAGTCGGTAGTTGCCTCTGTACAGAGTTAGATAAGAAAAATGAATAACTCAAAATGCTGGTACTGCACAGATATTTCTCGGCAGGGTTAAGGGTAGGCAATTTGAAGTTGCTTATCATGCAGTAAAACAGAGTTTAGTTTTAGTTTCTTTGACAATATTCGGGAAGATTCGAGTGGATCCTTCAGAAAACAAAGTGACTGCGAAATACAAATAAGATACCAACTCACAATTTATTTAACTACACATAAAACTCAATTGTTTCCCCTAGTGGATATTTAGCATTTGGCCGCACATGGTCTTGACTGCGCTAGTGAAAAAAGGACAAGCCTTTTAACCCGTATAATAAATTAAGTAGGGTACCTACGGGGCCCCACGTGGGCACGGACTTTAATACGCTTTCGCCAGTTTATACTGTTAGCAGATCTGCCCCCGCTACGTTTGTTTTCCATTACTAGATAGTCTTATTACGCTATAAGTCCATATGACTTCCAAGTCAAAACCAATTTTTTACAAAAGTACGGTTTATGCAACGAATGTAGGTAATAAGTAATAAAGCAATACGAAACAAGACGCTGTCCACGAGCACGTCACATACGCAAGTTAATTAGCTGTAGTGTAGTACGTGAATTTCAATTTTTTGAATTTTAATGACACTTTTTGAGTGTTTTTGTAAAACCCTTTTTTCTTTCCTGCATATACATATTCGAAGTTGCGAAGTTTGTAAAGAATAATATCACCGACTTTGAATTTACACGTAGCTCACGCCGCAACAAACAACTTGTGCTTCCTAAACCTAGGTTAGAATTATTCAGAAATGGTCCTTATAATAGAGCTATTAAAATATATTATGGCATTCATTAACACGTCCGTTTAGCGCCGCGCGAGTGCCGACTGACTGGCGGCCCGTGAGCGCGCGACGTATTTACATGAGAGCGAGAGCGAGAGGCATATATATAGGCTCTCTCTCTCTCTCTCTCTCTCTCTCCAACTTATGTTAGGGGTGTACGTTATATTTTGTAAATATTGTATAAAGGTAGGGGCTGAGGATAAGAAAAAACATTGACACTAAACCTTGAACCACGACGCTGTTTCCGCTGGACTTTCATCGTGCCATTCATCGCCGAGGTGAAGACTTCAATTCTGGGAGCCGATTATTTGCACCACAACAAGCTCCTGGTCGAACTGCATCACAGAAAACTCGCCGATCGCGTCACTGAGCTTAGCATCACATAATTTCTCAGCGTCTGAGTCAGGCGTTTACATGATCGACCGCTATCACGTGTACCACGACATTTTGAATCCTGACGTTCTGCGACCCATGTTACTAAAGAGCCCGATGAAGCACCAGGTGGTCCATCACATCGACACAACTTCCACCGGACAAGTGTACCAGGTTGCGAAAGTCGAGTTTGAACGCATGATGGACATGAGAATATACCGTTTGTCGAAGAGTCCATGGGCCAGCCCGCTCCATGTTATTAAGAAAAAAGACGGC